GGGCTCCTTTTATCCTCCTGCCTTTCTCATCCTCATCAAATGAGGCCAAGCGAGCAGAGAGGCCTTTCCCAGTCAGCCCTTCTAATAAAACAAGAGAAGTGGAATTTAGAAACAGACCATAAGAGCTAAGGAATGGAATATTACAGACATTTGGATCAAAATTAAGTTGTTTTCTCACATCTGCTTTCTTTGTTACACATATTTTAACTGGGAGTTTGACTTCTCTGATGCATTGCTGATGCTTTTTTTTTTTTTAAATAAAGACTTCAACCTCCAAGTTTACCCTCTATAGCCTGACCACATTGTGTTCAATCCCATCTCCTGTTGGCACCTCTGCCCTCCTACACTATGTTACCGAAGAGCACAGACTGGCTTAATTTGAACAATGTGAATAAAGAAAGGAAAGGGGAGAAGTGGACACAGAAAGAAAAGGAGAAAGGAGACTGAGGAACACCAATGCAGACACTGGCATGGTACTGACAGCTTAGGCCGGCTGTCAATCCTAGGGAAGATTTACAGACCTGGATACTTCACAAAAGTTCAGGGATGCAAGCAGATTGCTGTGCCTGTGCTAACACTGCATCGGTCATCCTTTGTGTCCATTCATCATGCAAATGGTTGTTATCACTTAGTTTTGGTCTCAAAGGGAGGCATCACAAACTAAATGGAGAGTATCACGGGACAGAGCTTGGCGCTGTACAGAGCCACAAGTCAACATGCGATGTTCGATTCTTGAGCTAAACAGCAGTCGCCAGTGGCTCTGTTCTCCTACCTTTTTTCATTGGAAGCGTTAGAATAGTTGATCGGGATACTACAAAAAGAATAAGAATGCTACATATTCTTTCCCCTTGATGAGCTCTGGGGGTTTTGTTGCTTTTGATGTTTTTTTTTTTTTTTTTTTTTTTCTGTTTACTGTTTTTGTGACGTTAAAGGCCCACACAAATACAGTGGGGTAAGGGAAGGTGTGGTTCTAAAGGAAATATTGCCCACAGAGCAACACAACAGTGAAAAGGTTGACATTGACCATGGGTCTCCAAGAAGTAGGAGGTCCAGGCTTGCTTAAGACGCTGTGCTGGGAAATGCTACCCATGATGGCCGTGCAGAGGATGGATAGCAGGAGTCAAAGTCAGTAGTGGGGGGGAGGGGAGGTAGGACCTGAAGAGGGAGGAGAGGGTGAGGGGGGAAGAAGACACACTCAAGAGTAGTGAGGAAAGTGTCTGAGGTGGGATGGCCATGCAAATGAGGGAACTGATCAGGAAGCAGACAAGCTCTAGTACCCACTCCTGACTCCACGCCATGTCTGACAAAGCTGCTGGGTGGTTCTCGATGTCTGGTTCCTCTAAGCAGGAATGTATTTCTGCATTCTGCTTTTATCAGGACAGGGCTGCATCAAGCCCAGTTTCCCTATGTAGGCTTAGCCTGAGATCAGCCCGTTCTCAAGCACTGTCCTGGAGCCATTTTCCCCTATGCTCAGGCGGGGGCTATGCTGTAGTCTCTGCTTGTGCTGAGCTCTTGGACTGACATCCTTAGCTCAGACACATCAAGAGAATCCAGTGAGGATGGTCTACTTCGGAATGCAGGCAGCTCTGTGCCTCTCTTCTCCATCTCGAGCCTGAGAGACTACAGGGCACAGCACTTATTTTTCCTCAAAGCTTCTAAACATCCCTTAAACTGAAGCCCTTATCAGTGCTATTTTTAGGAAATAATTTTTAGAAAAGGCCAAAAAGAGAGTGAGAGAGAGAGAGAGAGAGAGAGAGAGAGAGGAATGCTCTGGAAACAGACTAAATTATTCCAGTCTGGAAGAGGTACAGGCTCAAATCTAATTCCAAGCTACTTCCCAGGAAACTGGCATTGGGTTAATCTTGGCCCTTGGCCTTCCACAGTCCTACGAAAAGAGAGCAGAGCCACTAATCCCATGTCGTGTGTTTTAGAAAGGTGTCCCAGTCATTTTCAGGTCCGTGTGCCTGGACCCAACATTCACAAACAGCCTGTAATTTTAAGTCAGGACAGTATCTCAACATGAAGGTGAATCTAGGTGCCAAGTTAGAGTGGCAGGACTGAAAGAAGATAAAAATCCATCTTACACACATGAACTAACACCGCAATGCCAGATCATAGGTCATACCATACCACTGAGAACTGATAAACGACACTTCCCTCTGACTGGGGTGCTAAGATTAAACACCCCTGCACCACTGAACCATGCCTGGAGCACAGAGATACCGTTTCTATCAGTCCTGTCATATCTGATGAAAAGTTACTATCACAATTTACTGTTTCTGTGCATATTCATGGAAGCTAACTTGTCACACACAGGCCATTCAAACAGACATTGTTCTTATGCTCTGCTCCGTCTTTGTTGTTGTTCTAGAACACCTGAAAGTTAGCTGGTGAAGGAGCTCCTTACGTGACAGTGGAGAGCCTGTTCCCCAAGGGTCAAACTGTTACTTCCAGGTTCATACCCAAATATAAAGTGTGGCAGGTCAGTAGTGCCTATGTGTGTCATACTGGATCCACACAGCATGGGTGAGCAATTGCTAATCAATTATTGGATGTTCATTCTGTATCCGTGAGTAGATATTTTAACCAATTATGAATTATCTGACAGAAGGCGTTTCCTTCCATGCTTGGAGCGCGGCTGGAATGGCAAATAATCGCAGTCTCAGTGCACAGCATAGGCTTCCTGGAACTAGATCTACAGCCTGGTGTAATTTTGACTGCCATCCGTCTTCCTGCCTCCTCATCCTCAGTGCTAGCATTATAGCCGTGCAGCACCATGCTCAACTATACTTCATTCATTTGTTTCGAGACAGGGTTCCTTTGTGTAGCCTTGGCTGTCCTGGACTCGCTTTATAGACCAAACTCACAGAGATCTGCCTGCCTCTGCCTTCCTGAGGGCTGGGATTACAGGCGTGCCCCACTCCGCCCAGCCAACTATACCTTATTACAGAAACAGTACAGACAAATTAAAAAATACTTTTAAAAAATCAAAAGCAAAAAAAGACCAGTATTTTCATCGGTATGAAATTCCCAATGTTTGAGAATTGATTTTTAAATTCTGGAAGGAAGGGAACATCTTCCCTAGTTTCTGCTTTAAAGGTAGAGTGCACACGGAACACGAGTCCAAATGTCTGAAGCAGCGATGACTGGGTAAGGAAGAATCCTGCAGGCCCACGTACCTTGGCCTCCTCTGCCTCCCAAGAACACAGAGCAATTCCCACAATTTCCACCCAAGTTTCAAGCATGTGAATAAGCTTCCAATGTACCGGGTACCTAAAAATATAGTGAGGACTGCAGTGTCACCCCACTGCAAATCTAATCAAATGGTGCCTTCTTTAGTCACAAAACACTATCCACACACACCCGAATGGGTGCGCCCATCCTCCAGAATCCCTCCAGGAAAATAGCAAGCTCTGTTGCTCATGAAGCATGTGGAAGCAGACATCAGGTTACACTGAGCATCATGCACAGCCTTTTTAAAGAAGCTTCAAAGCTCAGTCAAAGAGGAAAACTGGGCACTGAAGTAAAGGTGAATGCTCTGTGACTGTCCTTAAGGTAACAAAATCTCTCCTCATTAATAATGTAGAGAAAAAAATACTATTTATAACCACATAAAAATCTGAAGGACAGTGTTGTAATGTGTAGATATTATTATAAGTATATATCTATACAAAGCAAGCTTAAATAATCACTGATGCATAGGGTAAGTAATGATACATTACAATAAGTCGTTATCAGCACCATCTTCTTAGTAATCAAAGAACAGCTACTGCTTCTAAACCTTAAAGTCAAATATATTCCCTAGCCTGGGAAACATTTTACTGACCCTATCTTAGCATCACCAGGAAATCTTAAAGAAGGAAAAAAAATAGACATTTGAAATAATAGTGTTGTGATCAAATAAATCATATTAACTTCAAGTCTTCTCAATATACCTGCTCAATTTCACATAATTGGTTCAATTTCAATTTCTTCTGGATCTTTTGGCGTAAGCTTAACTAGTTTCTCTGTTGCTGGAAGTCTTTTTTTTTTTTTTTTTTTTAATCTCCCACAGTCCTCACTTAAATCCAGAGTCTATTTCATTCACTTTCAAAATCCATGCCGTATTTTCACCAGGAACTCAACTATGTAACTGAACACTCAACACAGGCGAAAGCAATAGCCTCCCCAACAAAACACCGCATGGGTGAGACATCTGCTTCCTAAATACAGGACAAGAAAGAGCAAACCAAAGATTCATCACTGAAAAAGGGAAAGAAGAAGCTAGTGAGATCGCCTACACAAAGGTACATTTCCTCATTGTGCATAAAGGAAAGGCCTTTTTTTTTTTTCAATTTAAAGTGCACATCCTGCCCAGAAAATAAGATGCTTTTAGAAGTCAATCAGAAAACAACCCAGACAAACCAAACGCTGTAAGAACCAATGTTCTCATCATCTGTGTCAGCTACTTTCAATATGTATGCCGCAGAATCTTCATTTCCGGTCAAAAAGCTCGCATGTTCTGTTATATTGCTGTAGCCATTAGTGTTTACAGAAAAAAGGAATACCAGAAAACTCATAGGATGACATTTCCTCTCTCTACCCCTCTCCACGCCATCTATCAGGAATCAACCACCGATATTTCATGTATCGTTCATACTGCAACACATCATTTGATATGTGGCATGAAAATTGTTTTTTCCTTTGCTCACCCTCGAAGCGCTAGATAAAACTAGACAAACAGAATCGTGCATTATATATATCAAACACAAAAATAGGTGACAGAAAACTAATTCCGATTCGGCTATGTTTCTATGCAGGCACAATGGAAAACATAAATTTGCCTTCATTTCAGGCAAACACTTCATAGGCTCTGAGACACGGTAATACACATCGATCAGGACTGTCCTCTGTGGTCCAGGCCTGTCTCTACAGACAGTAGTATTTCCCACAGACTAAGGCCATTTCCAGGCAGCCCACGGGGGGAAGGACTACCTCGGCCTGGGGCCTCGCGTTCCTACCTTGGCAGCCACCGACGAGTTGGGTTTCTCCAGCAAGTCCCAGAGCTTCTTCCTTTTCTCCGGGCAGCAGGTGTTGTCGAACTCCTCGCCCTCGCGCTCGCGCAAGGTCTCCGCCTCCCGCCTCAGCTCCTCGTTCATCTGCTCCTTCTTCTGGTGGTACCGGGCCTGGCAGCAGGACTCCAGGTAGATCTCGTCGATGCCCCAGTAATCGAGCTCTTGGCCGAAGGAGAGCGCGCACATCTCTTCCATCATGTGGAGCTTGCCCGTGCGGTAGAAGTTGAGGATGGACGTGAAGGCCCCGGGGTGCCGGTCGAAGAAGTACTCATTCTCGTTCAGGTTGTAGTCGTCGCACACCTCCAGGAGACTGTCGTGCGTGTTACAGTCTCGGAGCTTCCCCAGGCGGGTCCGGGGGAGCCTGTCCAGCGTTCTCCACAGGACCTCGTGGTTAAGGCCCCCCACGTTGATCTTCACTCTCCGAGAGCACGTTTTGCTCCGGATGATGTCCACGGGTTCCGGGGGGAGGGAGAGCGTCGACCGAGATGTCTTCCTGTTCAAGCCAGGTGGGGCCTTCTCTGCCATTTTGAACTGGACAGGGCTACAGAGCCCAGGGTCCTGAACGAGGGAGGTCAGCTGGAACAAGAATCCTCCGGAGCAGGCATCTCCTCATCAGCTGGGAAAAAAAAGGCAACAGCTTTTGGTTATTCACATGTCACTGCCGGGGCTGCTGGGTCAATCAATTGTCACAATTTGGTAAGTTTTTAATTGTCTTTTTGTTTGTTTGTTTGGTTGGTTGGTTGTGTTTTTTTTTTTTTTTTGTTTTGTTTTGTTTTGTTTTTGCAGATATAAATCTCTGGTGTAGGAGATTAGAATGATTGGAAGCAACAAGATGAAGTTTGCAGAGGAAGCTGTGTGCTCATTTGGACACACCCGGAAGTTGACAAGACCCAACTGTGTCACCGGAGTCCTCTCTCTCAAGTTCCTGAAAAGCGCAGGTGCTCATGAGGGCCTCAAAGAGAGAACCCCGGCACAGCTGTACTGCCTACGGCTCCAACCTAGACAGTCAGGTCCTGTTCACAACGGCCATTTCGAGTTGATCACCTTCCTCCGGCCCCTACCTACCCTACTTATCCGAGCCAAAGTCTGACAGCACCTGATCCTTGCATTTCCTGCAACTCCAGAGTCCATCCCACAGCTCCTAGATACTGCTTACACTTTCTGTCATTCCCAAGTCCCCAGCACCAAGGCACAGAGCTAAATCCCAGCCTTCCTGTATGTGTCACTCCAATAGCCATTAAAACTGGCCCAAACCCTCGTGTTGACTCACAGATTTGACCTTGCCACCTTTGTTATTGGAAGTAAAATCCAGTCAGCCCTAACAGATCCTTTCCACCTTACTTTTCAGTCCAAATCACTGTCTGGAAACCACTTCTTATCTACAGAGTATATGACTCAGGAGACTGGGTGGATTTTAAGAACCTCCAAGTATGGTTAACTAAAACTACCGAAAGTAAAAGAGAGGGCAAAGGGGACTTCCCCTTTTGTGTTACCACAAGCCCTCAACGCACACACCACTGTCCTAGAACTTGGCCTGTCCACAGTGGATCATAGTGGGGTCTCCACACTGCTGGCCCTTCAAGCCTGGGGCCAGATGTTACCTCCTCCTGAAGGTCTTTCACAACATACTCCTCTGAGGTGAAGAAACTAGGTCTCTTGTCTTTCACTCTGTGAATCTAACTAAACTGTCCCATGGTGTCCTGCAGGCTCTCAAGGGCAAGCCCATCCTTTACTTTTATGCCCTTATCACTGAGCACTGTTCATACACACTGGCGAGGTTTAATACATGAAAAAGAGTCAATTCTTTGTTTTCCATTAAGCAGTTAACGGTCAGAAAAAAATGTATACAAGAAGTTATTGGGGACGTGTGCCTAAAATACAGCCGTGCGTACATGCTATGCATGTATTGGGCATGTTAGGGTGTATGTGGTTTGTCTTCTTTTGCTTTACATCTCTTTTCCCTTGGGCACTACCTGTTCGGAACATGATAGCTAGTCTTTCCCTTCTTGGTCTCTGCTGTCACCTGAAGCAGCAGGATCCTTGTGGTGCACATTTTTCTGAGTGCTTTGGCAGGAAATCACAGAGCTTTGAGCAACCAACCCCCAGAACCCTTTTAAATGTAAAACATCATGTTTCACAGTCAGTGACTGAGACTAAAGTGATGAAGTCTTAGATCCCAGAGGTCCTCAGGACTCGAACTTTCTTGTAAGAGGCACAGCAATCCCTACAAGCCCCAGGATTCACCATCTGCAGTTAAATTTAATTCTCCATCTGGAAGCCAAGCATCCTCTCGAATGAATGTAATTTTGGCTTCTGAAGAAAAAGTAGATGGACAGTATAAAGGGTATTTTAGACATGGGCAGCAAATATATTTGAATTGGGAGTTTTTCAGATACATAGTTATGGGAATATTTTGAGCATCCTCATGCACACTTCCTTCATATCTAACAAGAAAAATTTCCCATTTTTACAAAAGTAAAAAGGGACTATAATAATAACTAGAGTTGTTTGAGCTTGAACTCCTTCTCTATAAAAACCAGAATAATATTTCTTCTGTAAGAGGTGGCATCAAATAAGTAAATGAGACAGTGTGTCTAACGACCTTACTCCCAGAAAAAGGCGTCTAAATAACATAAAAATATTCACAGATCTCGAGGTTTGGTTTTCAACCACAGAGAGAAAATGAATAATACAAAAGCACATTCATGTTTATTAAATGAATGCTAGTTTATCTTTTTGCCTTCTAAGGCCTGTACTTGTGGGTCTCATATTGTTTTTCTTTTTCTGAGAATTGGAGCTTCAAAGAATGTATGCACTGTGCTGACAATGATATTTGAGTCCACATTTGGTATCTTACTGGCATTAATATATAATATATATTAGCATATACTATATATCAGTAAATATTTTAATATATACTAAAATGAGCAGCAACATCAAGCTCAGGCAAAATTAAATGAAAATATTAGGGACAGGGCCACTTCAGTGGTGAACCCGGATGACTCCTCCACTGTGTGACTTCTCCCTGCTAATACTGTAACCACTCACACAGTTCTGACTAGTGCCCATGAACAACAGGCAGTGTGGCCAGACTGCTTCAACCTTGGATACTGTTCTACTTTGCTTTTCTGTTGCAAAACACTAACCAAAAGTGACTTGGAGTAGGAAGGGCTTATTTGGAGTGTACCCCCACATCACAGTTCATCGGTGAGGGAAGCCAGGGCAGAAACCTGGAGGTAGAAACTGAAGTAAAGACCATGAGTGAGTGCTGCTTACTGGCTATTCATTTATTGCTGTTCAGCTTGCTTGCTTATACAGCCTAGGACCACTTACCCAGGGTAGCACTATCCACAATGGGTTAGGCCCTCCTCCATCAATCAGTGATGAAGGAGATACCCTGCAGGCATGCCCAGAGGCCAATCTGATTGATGAAGACTATTGTTCAGCTGAGATTCTCTCTGAGTATGTCCATCTCACAGCCATGAGCAGCCATCACAAGTACAAACACAAAATGCTTCTCTTTTTGGAATATATGCTCTCTGCCTCAGATAAATAGTGTTTTAATTAATTGCCTCATGTATGAGGTCTATGATAGAACCTCAACATGACTCTGATAGAAACATTTCTTATGTGATCAAGGGTAGAGTGAGACCTATCACCTTGTAACGTTCTTACCAAGAGAAAATTCTTTTAGAGTCACCCGTGGGGCACCAGTTATCTTAAAGAGTTTAATGACCATGACTTCCATAGAATTTTCCTTTACAAAGGGGATCTCAAGTGAAAAGTGAAGAGAGGCCAGGAGACTTAGATTTCAAAATGTCTTCTTCACCGATCAAGAACGTTCTATTATAAGAAATCCAGTGTTGATTACAGATCCCACAAATAAAAGAGAGATTGAAATCCAATGCCTTCTTTTCAAAGTGAAGAGTGCAACCAGGGTGAGAGGGTGCCCTGTTGATTTGGTTTCCTTAAGAATGAACAATGTCTGTTGTGGCTCTTGTTACAGTGGTAAAATTTCCTCATTCACCCTTGGCAGAATGCTCTGCTTATTTCTTGATAAACAAAAACTTCAGGTCTTGAGTAACTAAAGAACTGTGAAAAGTGTTCAGAGAGTCAAAAAAAAAAAAAAAAAGCTTTCTGAATAAGGTGGTAATTCAGGTAAAATGTAGCACTCCAACCCTGACGACAGAACCTTGGAAGTTCACTGACCCATTGTGTCTACAAGTTGTTGGCTCTCTCCTCTTGCCTTTCCTCTTTAGCTTTCACCTTCCACCACCCTACAAATGATACGCCTGGCTTCCATTCCATCCCTGTCTTCTTATAAGTCCAATATGTCACTCCTGTCTCACAGCCCAGGAAACAGCCACAAATTCAGAGACTAATATTTTCAAATTTGCACTGCTTATCGAAGTTGTATTTATATCTTCTTTTAAATATAAAAAACCTTCCAAGATAAAGAGAGCATGTCTTGTTTCAGAGGAAACAAAAATATGCAAACCAAGCTGATGTCATTTTCAGGTGTTGGAGACTGAGCAAGGAACTTGGCACTTACTAAGGTACCCTCCTCTCCATTGAGCTACCTGCTTCTGGCAAAGTGTCCCTGTGTTTTCCAGTCAGCTCTCAGACTCCTAAACTTAATCTCAAGCAGCCTTCCTGCATCAGCCTCCTTAGCAACTGGGGCCTCATGCAGCTGCTACTGTTGCTGTCCCAAGTTGCGTTCCATACAATGGTGTCCGAGGGCCGTAACATCTGCTTCCATGCAGGCAGAGCTTTTTTGCATTTGACCTTTATGTTTGGACTGTGGTTTCTAAGATGTCCTCACTTCCTATGACACCCAGTTGCTCCTTTCCTGTTGCTGTGATTGTGTGGTCTGTTCCATCTTCCTTTCAGTCTCCATATTTAAACAGGGACAAATTCAGACTACCTTCAAAATCAGTGAAAATTTTTTCCCCCAGTTCCAGCTTCCTAATAGAAGGAGGGTTGCATATTTCACTTTAAGAGCCCTTCAATTTTATCATGGCTTGGACAAGACTACATTCTGAAAATTATAAAAATGTTTCTTCATTTTATTTAGCGTTTGGTTAATTTTCTGTACCGTAAAACATGGCACTTTTAATCTATGTTATCTTTTCTGCCGTGTTAATTTTACTTCTAATAATGAATCTGTCCGTTTCCTCTGGGTTAGGAACCAACCCTGAGTGTCTTACCAACCCCGAGTGTTCATAAAATTTATGTTTTTAATTTCAGTAATGAAAGTGCATGACTACTGTGTTTTCTCATATATGTTTATATGTGAAATTATGTCTGTCATAATAATTTTACCCCATAAAAGTTAATCAAGTAATTCAACTTGTATATAAATCAAATATCAAATGTAATGATTCAATACATAAATTATAGGTGTTAAGTAACTGTAGAATTGATATGTGTGTGTGTGTGTCTGTGTGTGTGTGTGTGTGTGTGTGTCTGTAAATGATCAATTACAAATGAATACATATAGACTTCTGTCTGAGATGAAATGGCAGTGAATATTCTCTTTTGGCAGCTGATGTTCTGTCCTGGATGAAGCGACTGAATGTAAAGCCTGTGGTAGATCAGTTGGCCAGCGCACATCCC